GCTCACAGGCAAGTTTCCCAGGCCAGGCACGACATAAAGCAGCTCTGTCAGACCCTTAGGGTCCTCCTAAACATGTAGAAATATTTATCCTGTTACCTATCACTGCATAAGCTCCTGCCCTCCAATACAAGGGCTTAGAACAACAAGTATTTTAATGTCCTGTCTTATAGAGCTGGGTGTTGGGGGGCTCAGCTAGGTGCTTACTGCATAGCATTTCTTAAATGGTTACAGTCATAAGATGGCTGGGGTTGTAATTATCTAAAGGTAATTCACTCACATGTGTGGTGATTACAGTCAAAAAATTGCTAGAGGGAACATCTTGTTCATTCATTTTCTCAAGTGCAAGTATACTAGGATGACAGATCCTTCTCTGTAGAATTTCAGGGTGAAATTGAATATTTAAATTTTGTTGAAAGGGTTATTCCACATTATACACAAAACACAGTTTTCTCGGATTGTAACATCTGGCCAATCTTCGGCGAGAAAATGGTTTATTGACTTATTGTCCAATTCCCTAGTATCAGTGACTTTTCTCATTTTTTATGTGTGGTTGGCCATTTTGTGCTTTTGTGAATTGCCTTCATATCCTTATCTACTTTCGTATTGATCTGTTTGTCGTTTTTGCTGGTGATACAGTAGTTGTCACTATAAAAAGAATACTAATTCTTTGCTCTATGTGTTGCATGATAGGCTTGATGAAAATTAATTCAGGCTTATAGGCATGTTTTAACAATATTATCTACTACGGCACTAAATTCTTTCTAATTTTTTAAATGTGTTCATGATCTAGAAGAATTGTATGGAAAATTCTGCTGTAAACCCTTCCTATAATTCCCTTAGCATCACAGCTTTAATTTACTTGTAGAATAAATTAATTCCATGGGTCAGAGGATGTTTATTGTAAGGCTGGATGATGATCTTCTTAGCAATAAAGACTGATTTTTGTCAAACCAAACTACTTTCACCATGAAGTACTTCCCTGATGTTTAGCCTTGTAGAGGGTCTTGAGAATCCTTGTGGATTTATTTATAACTTTCTATCATATTATGGAATTTTCATATTCTTTTCATTGTTACTGATTTTGGTCTGTCACAGTGTGTCTACATTTAAGACACAATGATGATTATACTACTTTTGAACATGCTAAAGGATTTAATGTTTCTGTGTTAGGGTTTTGGGAAGGATGGGAAAGCAGGCTTCTGAGGGAAGAAAAAAATTAGACATCCTCATCTATAGTATGATTATGTAGACTAGTAATCATTATTTGAACATCTCTTCAACAAACTGATGTCACAACAAATCAGTAAGGAATCGAAGTGATGCTTTGTCTTGTTTGGAAAGGAGCAGGCATGTGTAAGTACACCTGGAGAGAATGAACACTGAGTAAGTCCCTGTGTTGTGCAGGTCCTGTATTATCACAAACTACAACTGAGACATTATTGCTATTATCAAAGGTTGAAAATGAGAGTGAAAAGAACCACGTCAATCTTTCTAAGAGGAAATGAGGAAAAGAAAACAAGTTAATGAAACCTAAGACTTTCGCAAATAGCTCGTGTTTATAATAGGAAACAGGTAAGGAGCTGTTATTTTCTAATTCCACAATTATTCACCTAGAAAATGATGAAAGGCAGAAGAAGGTAAAATTTTTGCCATGTCTTTTAG